AACGGGAAGATAGAGCTTCAAACAAGAATGATAAAAAAATCATCATATGATGCTTCTAAAAATAGAAGAGAAAAAAAAAACATAGGAAAAGAAAACAAACCGGATATGTTTGGGCAAAGAAGATAAGGTTTTCCAATGAAACAAATCCGCCACCTCTACAAGCATATAGTAGAATACTAAATATTAGTATAACCGAGATTAAACAAATGAAGACATATCTCTTAGAAAATGAAAGATTGTACTCACCTAAAATCTGTTGAAGGATCTGTACCCTGCCAACCCATCTCCTTCCAGAGCTCAGACTTAAGAGGTGGAAGCTCCCTGTCTGGATAAGCCAACTTCCATAACTTTTTAAGAGCGTCCTACAATATGCACGGATTAACTTTTATTTTTCCATTTATAAAAATGTAGTATAACAAAATTCCTGCTACCGTAATATAGTTTCTTTTAATCATCATTTGAATTGTATAGAAAACTGAAAGTAGAAGGAGCTTTTTTATACAAACCAAGGAGATGCCTACACAAGTCAATCAGCCTAACAACCAAATGAAGAACTAAGGGTATGTTACGAAGTGCCTTTTTAAGTCTTCAACTAAGGCAAAGATATTTTTAAGTTGTTAAAAGCACTCCCTACCGCAAATACTTATTTATGGCTACAACTTTGAAGGAGATTCCAAATAGAAGTATTTTTCAAAGAAGCTCGATAGGTGCTTTACACATGTTCTCTTACTACACATTCTCTCACTAACCTCTCTCTCTCTGTTTTTGGATAAGAGACTAACTTCTCTCTGTAGCCTTTTGTACTTTCTCGGATTGTTTGGCTTTCTATAATGGAAAATACTTGACTCCTCAACAATGTGGAGGAACTTTGTCCTCCTCACTATTAAATGTTTGACGACTAAGGGAGAGAAATACAAAAATAGAGAATTTTTAAAAATAATAATGAGTTGTCAAATATTTAATCATGAGAAGGACAAGGTTCCTCCTCAAATGAAGAGCCAAGTATTTCCCCTCTATAATTACTTTCAATTATTTTAAAAGTATCTATACCTATCAATCTTGAAGTAAACATATTGACTCTTACCAGTAATATCCCCCCCTTCTTTTCCTTAACATGGACATAATATGATAAAATTTCTCTGTGACATCAATCAATCACAATTGGATCCATGATCAGACATATATGATATCTGTACATGTGACTACACTTACTCCCGATAACATACTTTTACTGTTTACAACGCACCTTTCTTTCCCTACCTCTCATGAACTCCCAGGCTATTTCTCTGTGGGAATTTTTCCTTCTTGTATTACAAGAAGCGGACCAGTGGCTTATCGGTCTCATGACTAACATAAGTAATATATGATATTGGAACAATATTTCCTTTTTAGGATAAGTGCATAAGTTCAACCAGGCAGATAAGACTAACTTAGACATTACCGCACAGAAAGTTTTGGTGAGTATGTAGAAACAAACATACAAGCACAGACAAGAACTTGATATAAACAAGACATAAAAAAGATGAACAGACATGAAAGTTGAATTTCATGAGAGTCATTGCTACCGTAAACTTGTATAAATCAACGAACCATAAAAAGGGGAAATATTTCAACTAGAATTCAACCAAGTACAACGAAGAATTCACTTTGTTATAAAGTCGGAGATGACTTCCATAGCTATGGTGGAAGAAATACTTAAATTTCAAGGCATTAAAAGAGAACAAAGGTAAAAACATATACAACATAAACCATGGAATTTGAAATCATAGAGGTGTTAAAGGACTTACTTGGTGCTCAACACGAGAACCATCAAAGGGAACTTCCAGCCTTTGCTTTAAACTCTTGAGTCTTTCTTCCTATGAAACAGAGGGAGAGATTTTTAAAATTTAATAACAGATGTCTTTATCTTTCAAAAGATAGCAATATAGAAAACCATGTGTGTAAATCCAAACCAATAAACTTGACAAACTGATGCAACCCATGTAAGTGAGTTGGTTCAATTGGTTTTATATTAAAGTTGGTTGGAAGTTGGTTTTCAGTCTTTTTGATTGGGAGCTTGAAAACTGGATAAATCTTATCCAAGTTATCGATGTGGTGCGATTGGGTGAGGGGGAGGATCGGGTTTTATGGTCTCCTGGAAAAAATGGTCAGTTCTCTACTCGCTCGGCCCGTTTGAAGCTGTTGGATCGTAGCCCTTCTTTGAGATCACCCCTCATCTCGGCAATATGGAACTTTAAGGTCCCAAAAAAGATCAAAGTCTTCCTTTGGTCTCATGCTCATAGAAGCCTTAATACTCATGAGAATTTACAGAAAAAGTGCAAGAATTGGGTGTTATCCCCTTCGGTCTGCTCCTCTTGCTTGAATCACAGTGAGAATATAGATCACATTTTTCTGCATTGTTCTTTTGCGAAAAAGAACTGGTGTCTCCTTTTAAATACCTTTGAAATTTCTATTTGCTTCCCAAAAATGATAGATGATTGGATGGTTGAAGTGCTTCACGGGTGGACTCTTCCTAAGAAGGCTAAGTTTATTTGGAAGTGTGCTTCAAAGGGCTCTCCTATGGAGTCTATGGCTGGAAAGGAATTCTTGYATGTTTGAAGATAAGTCGACTACTTTTGGTTTTTTTTGTAGGAATGTACAGCACACGACCTCTCGGTGGTGCATCAATTATAGCAAATTCTTTTGTAACTACAACCTTTCCATGTTTATGCACAATTGGAAAGCGGTTGTTTAGTTTGTTTGGGAGAGGCTACCCCAGCCTCTAGTTTGTTCTTTCTTTTTTGATTAATACAAAGATGTTTCTTATCTAAAAAAAAAAAAAAGTTGGTTTTCAGAATTAAAGAATTAAACTTTGCCAATAGAAATATCCAATCTGCAGAGTCTCACAATTTAACAGTAATAACTTCATTCTTATTAATAGAAAACAGTAAATTAAAACATATATATATATATATTAAAAAATCTTGGTAATTGTGGTATTGGGGCCCCACAGGCCACACCTACAAATTCATGAGACTTGTATGTCCCAATGCCACTTCCATAAGGCATCAAGGTTTTCTCTTTTCAAGCTTCTTGGTCCCAAATGGTGAGGGTCACAATTCATTTTGGAAATTGATTTATAAGACCTATTTGTAAAGGGGAACTAATGCTGATGTAATTAACCACTTTCGAAGTAGTTAGGTTAGTTTTCAGTAGTTTGTTTAGTTGTTAGTTTCGTTAGTAGTTAACAGCCTTTGGGTTTATTTAAAAGTCTGTTCACTTGCTGTTAGTTGTAAAACAGCTTTCTGCTACTGCCGTTAGTTGTTAACAACCTTGCTGCTGTTAGTTTAAACACTATAAATAGGGGCTGTAATCTCTTTTCAAGGATGATGAATGATAATTAAAAACTTTTCTCTTTGAGTCTTCATCAAATGCATTTATTATTCTTGATTAACAGATTAACAGGATGTAAGAGCAAAAAAAATATAGCCATTTTGTTAAACTACGATCAGATCTACGCTAAGGAACTTTAAAAAAAAATTTACATTGATTTAAATTGCAATGAAAATTCAGGAGAATAAGACATCAGAACTTCATTTACCTGTAAAAGACTAAGAGGTGGAGCCACCCTATGGCTTTGTCCATTGTATGTGGTCAAAGAAAATGGCAAAAGTCGACCAAAAAGTGCTCCAGAACCAAAGACAATGTTTGCTACAAAAATGAAGACAGTATCGGTATCAGTAGTTATCAACATGCTCTACCGTATATCTTCAAAAGCCCACAAGAAACAGATAAGATATCTTCCTCACCACAATTATTTCTCCATGAATTCAACAAATTGATACATGATAAATAAACTAAGTTTCGCATAAATTATGCAATATCAATGCTACAGCAACCTGAGTTTCATATATACCAGGGCTAAAAAGTGAAGGAACGTTGACAAATGTAGTCAATGGAAGGTTCAATTAAGACAAATCGATAGCTAAAAATGGTTGATTGAGCTCCTTAATACACTAACCAGCATTTCCTAGAATTATAATATTGTGCTACTCCTTTCGAAGTTTATTTCTCCAAAAATTTGCTCACAGCCCCCATTTGGTAATTGTCTCTGTTGTTTACCAAGAGAATATAGCTTAAGTCCTACAACTTGCATCTCTAATTGGTGATAGCTAGCTTGAGATTTAACAGGATAGTTGACTCCAAATACTTCTTCGAGAAGACTTCATACCCTTTTGCAAAAAAGGATTTTTTTTTAATAATTATTATTGTATGAAACCAGATGCTTCTGGCACCTTCTCCAAACTGAGATTCCAAAAGGATAGAGATTGAAAAACGTATAGGTGGCTTATTTCAAAGAGTTGTTATCCACTCATTGAACTAAATCGACAGCCTCCAAAAGGATTAATTTGAGAAACAAATAGTATTTTGTGGAATCTCATGTCCTGGTGTACCTTAAAACATGTTCTCCATTTGTACCGTCCAAGCATTTTCCAGAATTAAGAGAACAGTTTTTTTCAAAGCTTTCTAACAGTGATACCTCCATAAATAAAACAGACAATAAGCTCACAGCCCACTCAAGACAGTAACGTAAAACATAGCATTGCCTACTGAAGGAATAAAGCTAAAATACAAAAAAAAAAAAACAGTATCTTATTCTAGTAGTTACTAGAACTAAAAGAAATATCTACTAACAAATAAAGAACGACGCTAAGTACTACAACCACAATGATAACATTGAATCTGGCATATTTAAAATTATATATGTTACTTGAACTCCAGAAGCACAGTAACAAGTAACAAATACCACAAATATTTAAATGGAGAGCAAGGCGAGTACTTTAGAAGGTCTCCAGATGGTATTTTCTGACCATATAATATATCAGTTATCACCATATGGTGTTTTTCCAAGTTCAGAATAGAATAATAACGACAAACTTTTTATCTGTGAAAAAAATTAGCATCATGAATAAATAAAGAATTAAATAAACAGGAGGATTTTTTAGATTGTTTGAAAATAAATGCAACCAGGGAAGGCGCCCAGCCACCCTTTTCAAATTACTACAGCAGATAAAAAAACTTCTCTTCCTCCAATTCAATTAAAATTTATTGAATGTAATCAACAGGAAAATATCATTCCCTTTATTGATTAAGGCTTCAGCCAAACTATCATATCCCATGAATCCAGACTATAGACCAGTATCCATTCTAAGAATATAACTGTACCTATCCACTGAGCCCATTGTGCAATCAACTGAGAGAACAGAAGCGTCCAGTGTAGCTGTTGCTTCTTCCGCTCATCGTCCCAAATCTCTTCAAGTGTGCGTGCCTTTTATAAAAAAAACACAAACAAATGAATCAATTGCCAAAGACTACCAAGGGAAACAAAATACAGAAAAAGAATTCTCAAACAACAGCACCCAGGATCCTTTGATAAAGCAGTGAAGAAGGATAATTCCAAAGGGGAAAAAGAGTAAAGAGGCGAAAAAAGGAATTAATCACCAACCTCCAAGCTTCTATCATTATATTCATGGCTTCCTAGCAGAGGCTCGCTTAAACCTTCGAAGCCAGAAGCATCATATTTTTCATTCCTTTTCCCATCAACATCTCCATGATGGAGCCTCCTCCTCAAAGTTCTTGAAGTCATTAAATAGCTTCTAATATCACCCTGCTGCATATCAATCAAAAATATCTTCAGTGCCTCCACAAACATTAAACCAAACAAATAAACCCTCATAATCAAGCACGAGGTAGCATTTTAAGTCAAGTACACGAAGAACAAATTTCGTCACTAAAACATAAAAATTCATTCACAATTGAATAGAACAGCAATACAAAGTAAAAAGGCTGCTCAACAACATCTTCACCGACCCAATGTTGAAACAATGTCCAATGCTATACTTGTAATCTTACGGCGCCTTCCCTGGTTGCATTTATATATATATATATTTAATTTATCTTCTGATTCCCAGCTAAACAGAGAAAATTCGCCCAAAAATCTAAAGTGGGAACACAGAATTTGAGGAGTTACGAATTGGGTATGAAAAACAAAGAAGCATTACCTGAAAATTTCGATTGAACGGGTAAACCAACCAATCAATCAACCAGAAATACCCCAAACAAGCATAAAATCGAATAATTCTTGAAGAAATCTTGAGAAACTGCACCTATTTATTCCAAATTCCGTTGCTTAACATCGAAGTCGAAGTGAATTGAATTTGAATTAAATAAACTGGAAGTATAATCGCATCCGGCTCCGCTTGAACGTGTCCTCGAAGGAAACTGCTCGAAATTTTCTTTATTATTAATTTKATCTTTTAACTTTTTTGTTTTTTTGTTTTTTTGTTTTTTGTTTTTCCCTTCCTAATAGGAGGATACGTTGACTTTTATCATATCGGAATTTTTGAATTATAGCCTTTTTAAGTATCAAATTTTGAAATCTGTTTTTTTTTAGTTTTTAGATATTTTTTCTTTTCGAAAAGTAACGTTTGATGAAGCAGAATTTACATGAAAACCCTTGTATGTATTTTAATTGAAGTAACGATTAGTCTATTGGATTTTATTATATAACAATTTAGACTATATAATTTAAAATTTGTAATGATTTAGTCTCTATCGTAAAATTTTTGGTAAGTTTATATATATATATATATGTMGACGAGGGATCAAATGTATTTAATTATCAATACTAAATCATGATAAAAATCGAAATTTAGTTTTGATAATGTTTTTTACAGTAGGGATTAAATTGTTACATGCTATATCTTAAAGATTAAATTATTACCAATTTGAAAGTACAAAAGCTCGTTACAAACAAAAGTTTAGGAATAATCGTTATTCAGTGAAAGTATAAGAACCAATGTATTTTTAATCTAATTTTTATAATTGGTGGAAAATATTTATAAAATTGTTTCAAATATTTGCAGTTATATATTATAACATAAAAAATTTCAGCCCTAAATTTGGTTAAGTGTTGTAATCCCCCTAAACATGATAAAATGTTCGAAGACCTTTACATTACAAACAAAGTGAAGGTRGAAAGTAGTCTTTCGTAAGTAGGAGCATAGCGCTTTGCAAGTGAAGGTGCAGGATGTGCTTCTTCCCTTTATAGCGGCTTCTGTCATTTTCACTACTTTTCTTTGATCCACCTTCCCGGGTGGGGAAGAGAACGAAAATAGGCCGTGTATGGTGGTCATGGTAGGTTCAAGTCGAAACTCCAGTAGGTAGTAGCCATTCCCTTCTCAGGGAACCGTACGTGAGACTTCCATATCATACGGCTCCGTCTTGAGCTTTTATCGTCGGCCCTTGTCATTAGATCGGAATGAAATTATGCTATTTGTACTTCTTTTCACCGGGAATGGAGAGTTGAAAAAGTATTGAAATTTGAGTCTAATTYATGCACTAATCAACTTAATTGGGTTCAAAACTTGATTTACATCAAATTTGTGGGGATTTATTTATTTTTTTACTCTTTAAAAAAGTGGTTGAATTAGGGGAAGAGAATAAGAGGGTGAAAATTGCAACACTTATCAAAATTTAGGTTCTAAGATAAAATTTACAACTTTCCAAATTTAGACTTAAAAATTGATTTTTTTTTCCTATTATATTATTATTCTATTAATTTTTAATTTAAATTGTCCCTAGTATGGTTTGAATATGGTTCATATAATCTGATTTTGAATTTTGTCATTTTTTTAGTACATTTGAATTTTGTCATTTGAAATGTTTTTTAGTACATTATTTCGTTTCCTGTTTATCTAAAGAAATCGTGAAATATTTTTTCATTTTTGAATTTAAAAAATATATTGTATTATTAACATATATATATATATATATATATATATATATATATTAATTTAGTGTAGGGTTTTAGTAAAATATTAATTTGTAAAGATCCTATTCTTGTTTTCAAAATTTTGATTTGATTTTATTTCCTTTAAAAGAAAATCTCACAATCCTCTTTGGTTTAAACATGGTTCATATAATTTGATTCATTCCTTTATTTTAAATTGTTTCCTTCCTGCTAATCTAAAGAAATCATAAAAAGAAATATATATTTTTTATTTATTAATATATTTATTTGGTATAGTTTACGGTTTTAGTAAAATATTAATGGTTTAGAGTTTATCATTTTTTCAACATTTTGATTTTATTTTCTTTCCATAAAATATCCCAATTCACYACTTTTTGCGCCTGCTTTTGTCATTTTTCTATTGATTTTTTATTGGGCAGCTGAAGATATAATATAGTAATTATTCTGTAAAGTGGGAYATTTTTGTAAATATCTCTAATTTGTTTGGCAAAACTTAGAAATTTTAAAAGAGAATAATTGAAAGTTGRGAGAGCATAGTGTTTGGAAATGGATTCTTTTTAGTACGACAGGATTGAAGTTGCCAATTATCGCTCTGATTTTTTTATTTAATTATGATTTTAATCATTTTTATATATACTACAAAARTTACTATGCATCATCATGATTTGTAAGTATTGAAAAACAAAGTTATATATATTGTAATATTTATTATTTGATCKAGTTGGTTTGCCATCTTAGAAGTTCAAACTCGAGACGAAACTGAAATTAAATTCAAACTATAAGACGAATCAAATTAAAATTTTTGAAACTATAGGATATAAATTGATAATTTTGAAACCATAGGAATCTAATTTATTCAAATTATAAGAACCATATTTATAATGTAACCAAAACAACRGTTAATCAAGAACTTATAAATATCAAGGATTTAACGTACCTATTGGAAAAAATGGCGTCTTGTGTTCTTCTTAGTGTCATATCTCAAACAAGATTTCAAATATCAATGACAGTGAAAATGTCTCAATTTTATAAAAATGTTGATGTCAGCGCGATGRATATTTCTAAAATATCATTAAAAATATACAAATTATTCAAATTAACAAATAATAATTTCGCCCTTTTAGATAAGTTAAAAAGATTACAAATATTAATATTATGTCTACGTTGGTGATATTTTTATTGATATATTTTTTTATTTATTTGTCAATTTTTGCGATACCATGAAAATGTCGATGCACCTTCTGATTCCAAATATTGGTTGTTCCCTGCCAAAATAACAACCATTGATGTCAGCGCGATGGATATTTCTAAAATATCATTAAAAATATACGAATTTTGCGATACCATGGTTGTTCCCTACATGAACGAATTTACATACTTAGTCAAATACTGGACAGGAAGACTCCTAAACAGGATGGAGGTCTCTCTAATCGAATCATATATACGTTCGACATGTTGAACGGTCCAAGACTTGTGCTCTTGTARTTAGCATATCTTAACCAGGTTGACCTTGACCTACTTTGTTGCCCAAACAATGTCTATTAAGTCTCTAAACTTTAAAATGTCTAATACATTCCTAAATTTTCAATTTGGTTTTCTAATAGATTCATAAATTTTACTAGCTATCGAATAGGTCATAGATTTATTAAACACAAATTTAGAATTTAAATACTTATTAGATTAGACACAAACATAAAAGTTTAAATACTAAACTTGTAATTTAACCATCAGAAGAAGCATTTTAAGTCAAATATGATAAGTTAAGTGCTATAACAAAAATTTTGATCCCTATTAAATAAATAATTGATTGAAAACTAATAAGACGAGTTTTAAAATATATATTTTCTCTTTTTTAATTGTAAAGTTGAGAGATTAAAACGAGAACATAACTATCTAGGTATTTATTTATGTGCMAAAACATAGTTTAGTGGTAATTGACATATATCTTCAGAGGATGTGAGTTCGTTCGCTTAACAAGATATGTAAATTTCGAGGACGAAATTTCTTTTTAGGTGGGGTATTTGTAACAACCGAAAAAAATATATAAATATATATATATATATATATATACATATATATATTTAAATTATTATTTTTTAGTTGTTTTCTTTTAGTTTTTCAAAATAAATCTTTTTGTTTTAGAAATTATTTTTAAAAGATAATTTGTTCTTAGAATTTAAAAAAAAATAAAAAGAAAGAGTTTTATTAAATCTTTATCTTTTTATTATCCTTTTTAAATAAGGATTCATTCCGACGAGACAACGAATCAACATTTTCAATATCACAAATAAAATTAATAAAATATTAACAATACCAACAAAATATCACAAATATAAACATAATATTAATATTAATAAATTTTAACTGAAATACTTATTTCTCATGATTCTTTCATCTTTAAAATTTATCTGTAAATATCTAAACTTTACTATTTGGGCTTGGATTTTGAAAAATGTGATTGAAAAATAATACTACCATAGGTAAAAAAGGCTGTTCAATCCAAAAATCCTTATTATTTCCATCAATATTTTCATAAAACTAAGACTTCAACATTTTTATCGACGTCGAGATTTAAAACCTTTATCCATACTCAYGATACCATAGATTATATATGGATAATTACATGGAAACTCGGGGAATTTGAAGAACATCAAATTCAAATAGGATCCAGGAAAACAAAAGCAATAGTATCAATTCATCAAATAATACAACAAAACTTTTACATACAGATCAAACCAAAAAAAAGAAAAAAAAAACCTCCTTTTCTCCCTCAAACTTCCAACTCTTAAGGGGGGATGGGGATCCTGGAAACTTGCACAATTACAAGAAATCAAGCCACAACTCATTTTTTCTTTTCAAAAGATTGCACAGTAAAAAAAAGAATCAGGCAATCAAACTGAAAAACCCARCCAAACATGAAAGAAAAAAAAAAATCTTGAAATGAAGAGGAAGACCCCAAAAGAAAAATTCCACATGATTCTTCTCCTTTTACCTCTTAGAATTATCATCTTAATCAGAATCACTTGATTCTGATTTTCCAGATTTTTCCTTCTTATCTTTGGTTTTGGAAGGAGAAGCAGAAACAGTTGGATCTACAGATTTTTCATCAATTGCATCTGCTGGTTTATCGGTATTGGTCATGTTTGAGGAGGCAATCTCAGTGTTTGAATCCATTCCAGCTGGTTCTACTCCCTCTGATGGATCATTTGATGCAGAACTTGTTGGAAGCTCACCTAAGTTTTTCTCTGAGGCTTGCATCAAAGCAACATGAATATCTCCCAGAGATCTTGCCTCAACGACTTCCAAATCCGAACTTGTTTCGGGTTTGGCTTCTTCCTTAACTTGGTTTTCAAATGCACTGGGAACAATGACGTCCTCTACGTCTACTCCTTCATGGAGTTGCCGAAAAGCCAAGTTGATATCATCAAGTGATCTCGCTTCAAGCATTGGTATATCTGATTTAGTTCCTGTGGGGTTGGAACTAGAATCTGATCCACCTTTGTTATTCACCGAGACTTGCATCAAAGCAACATGAATATCTCCCAAAGATCTTGCTTCGACGACTTCCAAATCTGAACTTGTTTCGGGTTTGGCTTCTTCCTTAACTTGGCTTGCGACCACACTGGGAAGAATGACGTCCTCCACGTCTACACCTTCATGGAGTTGCCTAAAAGCCAAGTTGATATCATCGATTGATCTTGCTTCAAGAATTGGCAGATCTGATTTAGTTTCGGTCGGATTGGAAGTAGAACCTAATTCAGATCTCTCTGCTTGAGCTTCCTCTAACGTTACCTTTTTTTCAAGGACTGGTTCCCCAACATCTTTGACACTGAAATCACCAACTTCGTCCAATTCTGATAATAATCCTTCATCAATGTGTGCTATTTCATCTACCTCTTCCGTAATCATCCTTTCCGAAAAACGAGATCCATATGATTCAGCCAGATAGTCCAAATGCTTTGAGACCTCCTCTCGATCGTTAAACGCATCACCAATGTTATCTTTTGGATCTCTTCTAACCATAGGTGTTCTGAAGTCATGATCTGATGTAGATGAGGAAGAATCAGAATCGACMGAGGATAGAAGAACTGTTGAACTGTCTTGATGAACTTTAGGCGCTATATTCTCAGGAGTCACTTCAGCAGCAGAATCTGTCGATAAAATACTTGGTTCCTGCAAAATATCAGCATGATATTGTCATTCTTGATTACAATCTTCTCTCATAAATCCTCAAGCAATTCATTAAATAGGGAAAGTTGCAGTGGTATGTTCCATCTCATAAACCAGACCATATGGATAGGATCAGCAAAATGTAAAAACTATTCATTGAGTTGTAACCAACATCTAATCCATGATGGACGTAACATTATGATTGATGGGTAACTCAATGGATTGAATATTTTCAAGATCATTGACGTAATAGCAAGAAGAGAACCATTAACTCAAAGAAATATGCAGAAGACTACTAATGTTGCCAGCGGTTACCTCAGCATCGTCAYGACTACTAAGAATATGTTCAACCATCGGCTTGTCCAACCAGGACTGGTCTAATTCAGTTATAGACGAAATAACCTCGGGAGTTGCATTAGGAGCACTAGAACCTGAAGAAGAAATTTTAGTATCCACATCATGCAAGGCTTCACTCTCTGCTTGTGATTTAATACTTGAGGGCTGAACAGAATCTTGTTCAGACCTAACAACTTCTTTCTCATTCACTGAGCGCTCCTCCACTTGCTCAAATTCAGAAGGAAATGTTGAACTTGAAGAAATCAATACAACTTGCTCTTCCACCACTGGAGGGTTCTTTTGTTCCCGTGATTCAGGAATAGTTGCATTGGTAGTAGCCAAATGCTCATGAGAAGTAGTCACAGAATGTATCGTTCCAACCGTGTCGTGAAGCTCCTGAGCAGGGATTTCTAAACCACGACTCGATATAGAAGTATTAATTACTTCCTCAACAGAACTGCTGTCAGATGAACCTGATCTATGGAGTTTGGATTCTTCAAGTTCAGAATTTTCTTCATTATTTATATTTAATGTTCCATGCATCTCCACATGTTTCACATCTGAAGGTAACCCAATATCTGCTGAAACATGGTTTATCACTGAAGACAGTTGGTCCTCTGGTTCAGTGAAAGTCAGACTCCGAGACGAGATCCGGTCACTTGAAGGTGAAGAACCTAGATTCTCATCTTCAGTTTTGTGAATTCCATCAACAACATACCCCTCGTGACTTGTCGGGTGATCTTTATCTTCCTTACGATCATCTACAATTCCTTTCTCTATAGATGCAATATCCGAGAAGGATGGACCAGAATCAATTGAAACATGCTCAACTATAAGTTCGGGGGCCACAGACAAGTTTTGAGCATCAAAATTAGTGTCATGTTTGGGGGACTCGACCTTCGTAACCTCATGCTTAATAACTTCTGAAACTTCTCTCGATTCAAGTTCATTTCTATCAACTACATATAACTCTGAGGAGGCATCATCTTTGAAACTCGAAGTGACGTCCTGGCCAATTTCGGAATGTACCTCAGATTCCTTACCTGAAAAGGGAATAATTGAGTCAGCTGAAAGGGGAGAGTGCAATTTGTTTATTTCTGCATACACATTAGAAGAACTAGGTGAAAAAGAGAACTTGCCTTCGGCTGAAGGGCTTGAGTCATAAACAGGCTCCTTATGTTGGTTGTCGTCCAACACTTCACTGGTAATCTTGAAGTCTGCGTCTGCTTCAAGGGCAGCCAACATTGATATGCCAGCACCCATGCCGGATTCCACTATACGCGGACTACTTGGCTTCACCTCATCTGTTTTGACCTCAAATGGTGTTTCATTCACTTCTGATAATGAAGACAAACTGGAACTACTGCTGAAATCTGTTTCAACTACTACACTTTTGGGGTGAATTTCAGCAGCATTAAGCTCTACTGGGGCTTCTGCAGCTCCAATTTCAGATGAGCCAGATTGGATTTCAAAGTGACTTTCCGTGGATCCCAAAGTTATCTCAATCACCTCATGATGCACATCTCTAGTTTCTTGTACGTAATCTTCAGAGCCTACATCCTCCCATGACCCATTTCCATGCTCGATACTGCTGGCCGTGTGGTCAAGGTAGGAAACTGCTGTTGTTTCCAGAAAAGATTCTGATTCATCAGGTTTCTTCTCATCCTGATCTGCAATGGAACTCATTGATTCAGTATCAGAAACAGAACTCAGTTTTGATTCACTGACTTCACTAAATTGCGTATCTAATGGAGAGTAGCTTGTTCCTTCTGAAGCTATCTTTTCTGGCATGAAATATGGTCTCCATCTAATATTCTGCTGCTCTTCCTTGGGAACTGCAAAGCTTGAGGGGCCCACGCTAAAACTTTCATGTCTTCGGAAGAATAGATCTTTCTGCTGAAGTGGCAAAAATTCTTGTTCAAAATCGTCACTCTTAAGGTCTGGTTTCTCTTCATTTGGGTCATATGGGAGATCGAATGGATTTCGTCTTGGCAACAAAATGGATGGAGCAGACCCAGGAATTGGCGGTAATCCCATATTATTATATGAATCATAAGGGAGGTCGAATGGGTTACGTCTGGATGTAGAAATGGGCGGTACGTTAGCTGGGAGATCGAAACCATCCAAGTCTATCAAATTCTTCCCTGCCAACATTCTCATGTTGTTCCTTGCTCTTCTCCTTGCAATGAGATTCTCCAAGCGCTGATTCCTTTCAAGCTCTAAACTTCCCAAATCCATGAGATTCTTTTGATCATCCTCAGTCCACTTGATTGCAGATTTACTCTCATCCTCTTTCTCTTCCTGCATCCCCTCATCATCCTCGTCATCATCCTCATCRTCATTCTCGACAGCGCCACATTCTTCTCCCTGGTTTTCAGCATCATCATCCGACATCACACATTCAACATCACTTTTATGAGACTGTTCTGAAGAAGCATCTGATCCCTCATTTGACCTATTTACAGGTAGTGGAGTTTCCGAGTCCAAGAGTGGGTGCAACTCATCCAGGAGCGGAATGATGTCAGCCATTGAGGCATCAGGTGAGGAACTTTCTGCTCGATCAGACTCAGAACCAGAAGAATCATAATCATGTTCATCATTATCATTATCATCTGGAGCTAAATTTAGATGATGATCTCCTTTATGGACAGGTTCTATTGGGATGTTACGATCTTCTACTTCGAGAATCTCATTTCGCATGCTTTGGGCCGCCAAAAGCTGGTTCTCAACAGCATTTTCACGATCAGTTGCCACACTTTTAACATCCAAATCCCTTTCATAAATTTCTCCCTTCTCTTCCAACTCTGAACTATGAAGTAATTCCCTATCTGCCACTTTCTCAACTTTGCCCTTCTCATCAAACTCCTCAACTCCTCCCCCCTTCTCAAACGTAATTTCACGATCGCGCTCGTGGATCAACGGAACAAAGTCAACAAAACCACCGTGTTCATCAAGCTTGCTTGTTTTCTTGTCTTCTTCAGAACCTGTTTCGACATAAGAATCCCCAACTTTATTTCCTTCAAATTTCTCTACAGTAAAACTATCATCCTCCTTAGCAACAACAGTAGCATTGTCCAAAATCCCAGATCTCAAAGAAGCTACATCCTGCGAAACCTTCTCCTCCACCTCGATTTCAGGTATATTAGGCTGCCCGAAACTCAGAAGCGTTCCAAGAAGAACAGCCGTGCAAATCAAAACAGGGGACGCAGACACCAGAAGGGAAAACAAAAAAGGACATGATCTATACAGAAGAATCAAGAAACACAGCAGGCCAAACAGAAATGGGTAATTACGAACTGATCGGTAGCAAGTTCTGACAGACACGACTACAATTTTCCTAACACGAAAAGCCATTTCCACAGCCAATCCCATATCTCTCCCCGTTCTCGCACGCTCCTATCCCAATCAGTTATATCTGGCAGATTGGGCGAAAGGCACAAGAACAACACAAGGTCAAAAAATAACCCACTCCAAAAGCAGAAAGAAAACAAACAAAACGAACCCCAATTCCGCAATCAAACGAAAATTAAGATCAAACCCAATACCTGAAACGAGGAATCGAAGAGAGAAAACGAAATTGATCGCTGCCAGACCGGATTTTGGGATGGGGAATTCGAAATTAAGGCAAAAACAAAAAAAGATAGATAGAGAGGAAAAAAGAAGAAGGGCTTGTGAATTCTGGGTTGTGCTATGCTATGGCGATGGCCCCTCGGCTTTTTGCCGCTTCTTCTTTTGATGGGAATTGTCAGCAACGCCAACTCCTCTTTCAGATTAGAGAAACAGAGACAGAAATGATATTATTTGTATATTTGCTACTTTCTTTTCTTCTATTTGTTATATATTTATTATATGGCCCCAAAGGGAATCAAAGGATCAAAACCCCAACTTTTTTTTTTGTTTTGTTTTTACTTTAGACATTTTAAATTAAAATATAAATTTGATTCCCAAAGTTTACATGGGTAAAGTTTAAAAAGTTGTATTTTAACTCGTTTCAAAAAATGTTAGTGGAGATCGGACCTCCTACCTTTGAAAAAATAATAGGTGTCTTATTTAATGAACTAGACTCGAATTGGATCTCAAATTTATAGATCTGAATAGTAAACTTGTTCGAGTAGTTCAATTACTTGTAATCTCTTATCAATGATAAGTTTGGAATCTTACTCATTTCTTTTATTGAATTTTAATAAAAACTAGATAAAAATATTATTTTGGTTTTATAATAATTAACATTCATTTGGGTGCCTGTACTCTTAAAGTGATCAATTTGGTCTCTTCGTTTTATTTTTATCTAATTTTTTCAATCACAGTTTCAACTCAAACAATATGCTCAACATATTTATTGAAATATAGGTTTGTAACCATAACTTTATATTAAAGGTTTCCGGTATTTATAGAATTTGTGTTTAAATTTTGTAAATAAATATCAAAACGGTCACTTTTTTAAAAGTAGAGGCACCAAAATAAACGTTTTGAAAGTACAACTACTAAATTGAACTAAAGTTGAAAATATAGGAATGAGAAAAAACATTTAAAAGTAGAAGAATCAAAATGTTCGGTACGAGTACCAAAATAGTATTTTAACCTATAGCCTCGGTTTTTCTTTCATATGCCTACGAAAATTAGATAATTTAATGACAGTAATCAGCAGTAATTTGTTTTTTCTTTTTTCATTCCTAACCCAAATTTTAATGAGTATGACTAAATTCAAAACTTCAAATATATTAAGGACAAAATTAAAAACAACGGTAACATTAAGACCAAAACAATATTTAATATTATTATTTTTTTGGACCAATATTTAATATTATTTTATACATATAACTCTTTTAGTAACTAAAATTTACATGTAAGGTAAACATGCAAAAGGTAAAAAGAATCCATTTTTTCTCCAATTTCTCAATTTCTAGCATCATCTACAAACTTCATTTAGATTAAATATTTCATTGGAAGATTTCTGGACAAATGTCACTTAGGTGTCACATACGTCTTTCGTCTCCTATCTCTAAATTACCTACACACAGAAATCTAACAGTAATGTAGTGTGCTCTACGAAATACACTCCAATACTTAAGTTTTGAAATTAAGGTGTGGGAGCAAACGGGTATGGAGCAAGTAGAGTAAGGAAATAGTAATCTCAATATGAGAGTCTGCTCGAGAATGTGTGTTGAATCTTTACAAGTTGTGTAGGAAAATGCAGTTTACCTTCATTAGGGTTTTCTCAGCTGAGGGAGGTTGGGAGAGTGTGAAGTAGACACAGAAAGTGGAATATCGCGCTAGGAGGTCGTGGGATCACGACATTCTACTTCCCTCTATGCATGTCGAAGGGGGTGCACGACGACGTCCTAAGTGAGGTTCGAGTACAGGGTATCTACATCCTGATCGTTGGTGTTTCTGGTACGAGTTGTCCAGGTGCTGCTCTTGGGATTTGACCCAATGTGTTCAGCCATCACCGAATTCTCGTTGACCCAATTCACATGATTTAATTGGAGTTCCAACGCATGTCGCTATAGATTTATCTAATCATATAAATATAATATAAAAAAAGATATTTATATTTTTTAAATTCTCAAATAGGTTTATACGAGTCCATTCACAAAAATTTTGAGATAAAAAAAAAGAGAGACTATGGACAAAATTGAGATATATAACGACAAGAATTGAATAGTTTCTAATATATATATATATATATATATATATATAAAGAGGATATTGGCCATTACTTGTTCACCTACAATAAAATAATATGAAAACTTATTAGTTAGAGAGAGACGATTTTATTAAAAGACAATTTCTAGTGTGTTATTATGAAATTGTTTTTAAAAGAATTTATTATTGGAGTAAAAAAGTTTAAAAAATGTAGTATTGATTGGAACAAATGAATTGACTTGGAAATGCACGTGGAATGGGATTAATTTCGAATTCTTGCTTAGAAGAATAAAAAATATTATAATTAAAATTAAAATTAGTTATTATTATTTAAAATGTATTTGGGAATGTTGGGGTTATCATTGCTTCCTCAAGGAGAGTGCCACACAAACATTATATTATTCTACTTCCTTGCTTTCCGGGATGTAAAATTTCTTTGGATATTTATTAAGTTTTAAATACTATTTTTCCACTTTAGTTTCGATTTTAGTTCATTTTTATCTAATTCGTGTATTTTTTTTAGTTTCTATAATTTCAAAATRTCTATTTTGATTCTTATTAATGTCAATTTATGGACACGTCCCACTTAAGTGTTACGTGAGTACCACAAACGCCTTCATTTCCGAACTCTCGGTTACCTACACACAAATCTAGTATTGGTATGGTATTCTACCGAATAATGCACCTGATGCTTAAGTTAGAATTCAAGTTAAGAATAAACGGGTATGGAACAAGTATAATAGAAAGACGGTAATTTCTAGAACGAGAGTCTACTTGAATGTGTGTGTCAAATCCTCACCAGGAGTTGTGTAGGGAAAAACGATTTACCTTGATTAAGGTTGTATATGGAGAGAGAGTCGATCCAGTAGAGTAGGATGGACGGCCTATCGGAGGTGTAGAGACCCCTCATGATATTTCGTGTCCTTTTCCTATCATTGAAGAGTGGTGTGACAGTATCTAGGGTATGCTTTTGGCACTTTGTCAGACGCATGTTGGATGAGTTTGTTGGTACCTACAATCGCATTTGGGGCATTTGTATGGCGTGCTCGTCGTCCCTTTCCGGCACGCTTGACACCCTTCTTTCGATGCACTCAGAGTTGTCCTTGTGCGCTTTGGTTACTCACTTTGCGGGTGGGTAACTCCACATAGCGCCTCGTGGCTTCCCCTCAACAATTCCTGTACTTTTAAAAAATTGATTATTTTGGTAACATTTATTTCCATTTTTATCCCATTTATTTCTATCATAATTTTAGTTGGACACTTCACTCACAAAATTTCTTRAATATAGTCATAAATTTGTATTTAAGAGTTCTTAATAGGTATAAAATTTGTGTCAACATTTTACAAATAAGGATTAAATTAGTCAATTTTAAAAGTACATGAACCAAAATGGACATTTTGAAAATTAGACCCAACCGAACAACATTAAAAAAAATATAGAGACAAATATAGTATTTAAACCTAGAAATTATATATTCAGTCCCATAACTTTCACACGTATATTTAATTTCTAAATTTTAAAATGTTTTTTTTAAGTACAATAAATATGGGATGTGGATATTTAAATCTTCGACTTAAAAGAAGGAGTAAATATCTTTACCACTGAGCTATGCTCATGTCAATAAAAATAAATAAGCTTATACCTCTAAACTTTGAATTATAATTTATGTAGACTTTAACCATTAATTAAATGATGACATAGCATACTTATTCGATAAATATGGTCTAATTCTATACGTTTTGATAGATAAATGGTAGAACCAAAATAAAGTTGCACAATTTAGGCAAGAGATCTAATACAATCCATGTCATGTCAAATTAGTTAAATTTTGTCATTTCAAAATTGTTTCCTTAGCTTCAAAACTTTTCAACAACCCCGACCAACTTTGAATTTTAATTCAATATAATCTTTATCGTTAAAAACTATTAACTAAACGACGCTTCGACAAATATTTATAAGAAGTTTCTCAAGTTTTTTCATCCATGCAATTCAAACTTAAAGATGGTATAAATATTTGTATTTCTTAGCTCCCACTCTAAGTTTCCCTATTTAATAAATAATTTTGTTTTCAACTTTTTTTTAAAAATTAAGTTTATAAATACTACTCCATAGATTCCATGAATGTGTTTCTTTTACCTTTTATTAAATATTTTCAAAATCTAAAGTAAATTTCAAATTTTTTTAAAAAATATTTAAATTTAAATTTTCTTTTTTAAACTTGACTTAAAATTCAAGTACTGTCTAACAAAAGTAAAAATTACACCAAATTAAATTATCATAAATTTATCTCAAAAGAAAACAAACTCCAAATCTGAAAAAAGAAAAAAAAAAGGTGTGATTAGGAGGATATATGAATATCCAAATAAATAAATTTATGATACAAAAAAATAAAAAATAAAAAACAGGGTCAAAAAGAGGGGTTGGCCGAAAGATGAGTGGACGGTGGGGGGAAGACGTGAGCACCAACATCGCTGTCTTAAAGGATTCTTCTTAGTCGCTTTCCATTTTCCAGTATTTTTCAGCCAACCAAAATTAAGCTGTCCAATAACAATTAGGATCCATTAGTACGTATCTTTATACTGACCATCACCATAATTTTAAATATTCATCGACGCGTTGACATTTCTATTGGCATATCAATATTTTCATAGATTCGACAACGATATGAGGGGATAAATCGACGTTTCTAACATTGAAAAATATCACCAAAATGTCACTAATATATACATAATATTAATATTAATTATTTTTAACTAATTTAGAAATAGAAAAATGTTTATTTTATTAATTTAAAATTTTTTTACGATTATTTTAATTTTTCTAACTTTTACAGAAATATCTATCGACTCGACATTTCCATTAACATCGATATTTAAAACCTTGACCACCATTAAAATTTTTAACGTTTTTATTTCTTTTTTGTTTTCTGAGTAACACAAAACATATTTCTGTTTTTTTTTTCTTTTTCAATTTAGAAAAGGAGAAATAAACCATTAACAATTACGAAATTTTAGGGGCAGGGATTCTCCGGGACGGGTTCCCCCGTTATAAGTATATTTTTTTAATTAACTTTTGTTATTATTAATATAAAAAGGGAACAAAAAGTGGTTAAATGAGGTATTAGCTTGAGTTTTTTTTTAATTAAAAAGTATTTATAAAATTAATATATTTAATATTATTATATAAAAAAATAATAAAAAATTAAACGGGACGGGGCGATGTTACAATCCTAACACTTGTCCAAAATCTCATTCTAATTCCTTTTATCTCCCTCAGTTTCTTACTCAAAGAATAAAGGAAGATGATACCAACACACTCTTTTTAAGTTTCCATTCTGCTTACTTCTCTTTCACACCTGTTCTGTTGGGCTCTTCGAATGCTTTCCAATAATATTTTTTAGCATATAGTATGTATATTTTTAAAATGTCACAACTTTTCACTTTTTTAAATATATCATAAAAAACAACCTCGTAAATTTGTCCTTTCTCGGGGTTTTATGTTACATTTGAGTTTAAGTTTAATTTGAACTATACTATCTTAAAAAAAAATAATTAAAAAAAATCTACATTTGAAAATACTTGTGTAAATACCTCTAAGTTCAATCTTTTACAATTCATTATTCTTACACAACCTAAATATATGCCCCCACAAACTTGAAAAGGTACTCAATTCTAAGCTACACAAAAGCCAAAACATCTCTTCAGCGAAACAAATAATAAAAGTTAGAGAAATTTAAGCAACCAACAAAAGAAATTTGTACTAAAATTATTGCCATGAATTCTCTCCTGTACTTTGCAAAGTTTCTAACTAAGTATCCAAACTTTCACTTTTGTGTCTTCTGATTGGTCTCCACCGTTAACTTCATTGGTTTAATATTTATACCACCAAGTCTAATCTTGCACGAAATCGACTCACCATGTAATATTTAAATCATACGCAATGTAGGATGTAAGTGTTAAAGCCACAAAATTACCTTATCAACATCAATCTATTAGACATAAAATTGAAAGTTCAAAGTGGTTCAAAATTTTTCTGAAGTACGCAAACTTTTTTTTAGTATAAATATGGGGACGAGAGATTGAAACTCCATCCTCTAGAGAAAGAACACGATGTCTTAATCTGCTGACCTATACTTTGGCACACCAATCTTTAAAATCCTCTTGAAAAAAAAGACAATAAAGAAAGATACTGTGATTTTGAGAGCTGAAAAGAATGTGTATAAACTTCAAAGCTTATTCCAATTTGGTATTTATATCATAAATGTTCTGTTACATATATCAAATTTGAAATACAGTACAAAAATTTTAACTCAAAAAGAATATTCATGAAACTCTGGAGAAGAGAAAAAAAAGACAAGAAAGAACAAGAACAGTTGATAAACAACAAAAGGAAACAAAACTAGACGAGGAAAAGAAAGAACTGACCACTGATTTTATTGTTATAGGTTGAGGTGCAGTCAGGCATATTGCAGCTGAAACTGATTCAATTTTCTTATTGTTTGTCGTCTGGAGTCTTCAAATTTGAAGGTATTTCGTCGTCGCTATGTTCATGATCAGAAGCCTCATCGGAATCAGCGTCGGAGGCCGCCGAGTCCGGCAGCTGTGATGTGGATAAAATAGTTCGATAGATGGGAGAAGAGCATCCAGTGTCAATAAAATGAGTCATTTTCTTGTCATCTTCCATCATTCTCTTTGCATAATCTTCATAGTTGAACCCAATTGGGCTTTTCCCGCCAAATGAAGTTTCCAACTTTTCTTCGTCAAAGTTCTCTTCCATTATCTTCTGGCTCTCTGGGTTGTTGGAGTACACAAACTTCACTTTCTTGTATGTCTTCGACTCCAGGAATGGTCTAACCATCTGAAATTTGCAACATTAAAATGGAACATAGTTTGAGTTTGATTTCAATTTAATTCTTTTAAGAGTTTCGTTGTTATCCATGTGATTTGGTTTGATTAAACCTCTCGAGATGTCTATATTGTTACAAGATGTTAACAATTTTCTTACCTAATATGTTTCTTTAGACATGGTAGAGAGAAGTGATGAGCTAATATTCAGTATAAACATGGGTAGGTCACATTGACTAATTGGATTAGAGTTTGACTAAGTAAAAAATAGATGAAATAATCATACAATTTTCAGGTAAAGAGGCAATGAGAGTCCTCTTGTGTGAAAAAAAGGAATAAAACTTAGGTGATGATGAGTAAATAGGTATCTTTTACGGCCATTAAAAAATTGACAACTAAGAGAGATGAATACATATACGAAAACAGGTAATAAAATAAATAGTTGTCAATTTTTTAATGGTTACTCACCAGTAAGCACCTCATTCTTATTAAAAAAATGAATGAATCTTACTCCACRTCATAAAAATTTTTGACCTACGAAATTCACTAATTTTTTCTCTACCACATCCAAATAAAACATACCATACAAGAAAATTGTTAACATCTAGCGAGTCAGCGACAATGTATATGTTTGAAAATTCTAATCAAATAATAGAGAGAAGTTTCAAAACTATAAAAAGAAACACTAAAATCAGATCATCAAACTATATATATAGCAAAACAAATGAAAGTACGAAGCTTAGAAAATTGTAATTCAAACTGTAGAAGGATGAGATGAGATGCAACTTAAACACCATAAACGGGGCGATTGGAAGAATATATATATATAGAGGATCAAACGGATACAAGTGCATCTCAATAGGGGAAACCAAAATTTTCTGGTGAAAGTGAAAATATATGGAAAGCAATAAATATGTAAGACAACAATTTAACAAAATATGGAAGTGATATGATAACTTACCACCCAAAAGGACTCGAACACCTTTGGTGGGTTGTAGAGAATGGCAAGGCCCAACCTTTCAGGATAATGATTTTGCAGGACGTAAGCTGTTTCTCGAGTAGTCTTCACGGACAGACTAGATGTGTTCCACCCATGAAAATCAATAAGCCATACCATGTATCCGTCGTTTGAATTAGAACTCAAGATCGCATTCTCCATACTGTAAACCAAATATCTGATCTGTCCAATTGTTGAATCTGTATTCTGACGTTATTATAAGAAAATTTTATTTTACTTTAGCCAAGAGTAGTTATGTAAGAAAAAAACCTATCAGCAGACAAAGAGTTCTTACTTCTACTATTTTAAATTACAATTTTGGTCTCTAAACTTACTGACCTCTAAATTTAATATTGTGTCAACTAGTATTAGGTCATATACTTGTAAAAATTTCCAATTTTGTATCTAGATAATCTTGTCATTAACTTTGTTAGTTTAACGTTTATACGATACACAAACTGTGTTATTCAAGAATTATATGATGGGTAAGCAAGTTGAGGCATTTGGATGGGGTTAACACCAAACCACCAAAATTAACCACATGAATCTATTAGACATGATAATTTAGGTACTAAATAAACAACTCTAAAAGTTTGGGGACTTGTTACAAACTTCAAACTCCAGGAACAACCAATCTTATAATTTAACTTTAAAATATTAATTAGATTCTGTCATGTATTAAATATAATATAAACTTTTCTCAAAAAAAAATTATATATATATATATAGATATAATATATAAACATTAGTTGTGTTCGTCATGCAATTGAAATACCTGATTACTTGGTGTCATTACAAGAACAGTCCTTCCTTGTTTGTCAGTGTAATTTGCTTTATATATTTTTCCCGTCTTGGCTTCATCGGCAATATCTTCCTTAAAGCATGAAGAAGACATGGTTTAGTCAATAACGCATGTAATATAATCCAGTGCCAAGATCAATATGGCCATTTCAAGCAAGCAATTACGCCTGGAGAGAATAAAAAACATTGGGCCTACCATATAAAGTAAAATTTATTACTACAACTCCACCTTCTTAAAAGTTGTTGTAGAGAAGAGTTTGTTCTTACAGAGGGGAAGGGAAGAAATATAGATAATCTACTTGTATAACTAAAATAATTTTGGACAATTAAAGTTTCCCCTTCTACTTCTACATACAGGTTAAGAAAGACGGAGGCCAAGAATTGTGACGGCCCTCTTCTTCTGGTGCAGATTTATTATTATTATACAATCTCTCGTAGCCTTCAATCAACAAGTTGTATTCTCAATAGAATGAGAATGCTTAAAGTAGAATCAAGATCACACTAAAGCAAAGAAAAGGATATCCGAAGAAAAGTTTGAAAACATTGAAATGCAGTGAAAATGGTTATTTCTTTTTTGGTCTCATCTCCTGCTGGTTTGTACTATAGTTGTTTGTTGTACTTGTTTCTCTTTAATTTTAGGAGGATGCGATATTCTCATTATCATTTTTTGCAACGGTTTACTTTATTGTTATGATTAAAAATGTTTTCTCCTTTAAAAGCTATTATCGATGCTTGTTAGCATACCCCATTGCAGAAACTAACTGATTCTTTCTTCCCCCTCAGTTCAGTGAATTAGCTTTCCATTTTCCACAGAGAATAAAATTGTACCAATCAAATGGTAAAATTGTATAAATCCATACCCAACTTATCTTCTCTGGCTTGTATTCTAGCCTCCATTTCAAAGTTTCCTTCAACATTTTAGATGCCTTCTTTGTATTCCAGTTTCTTGCTTTAAGGTACCTCAGAATCGATGGATTCGAGCACAAGACAGGAAGCTTATCAGCAATTGGGCCCATTAGCTTTTTGACTTCATCTATCTGAAAAGGAGAATACATTTAATTAAACCCCAGGAATTATTATCTGAAAACTAAACATCCCATGTGACAATTTTCTGTTGCAATAACTTTTAGGCTCATGGGAACATCAGACTCTGTACCAAATTGGAAATAAGAGATGATCCAACTTTCTTTGTTCTGTTAAAATATTTTAACAAATTAAACTTGCAACCAAGCTATATAACTTATAATAACAACAAACCTCACCTTGGCCTGCTGTTCTTCAGGGGACAAAACCTTCTCGGTCGCGTTACCTCTCGGCTTCCTAAAGGACATCTTGAAGGTTGAACAGAAATAATCACTTTAGTAGATACAGACAAACGGTTTGGAAAAAAGTAGCAGGTTCGATGTTCTCCAGATGATCTTGAGCAAGAAATGATAATGGTTAGATGCTCCACCCTATGGTCTGAGAACTTTTAGACGCTCCGACTAAAAGAGGCTCATGATCATACATGATTCACCTTCAAGAGAAATGGACTAGCTCAATCAAATCAATGGATTAGGTATTAGTTATTCAGTTCGTAGTTTAACTGTTTTAGCCATCTAATTAGCTTACCTTCTCTGTACAATTCCTACATATGGGCAACAATGTTCAATTTCATATGAGATGCAGAATATTTCACAACTATTTATAGTTGTCACGCAACAAAACAGATAAGAACTACAACCAAATATATATATCAGTACCATTGCAATTCAATCTTCATAATTCAAATCATATAAAAAGGAAAAAATAAGAAGAAGAGCATAAGCTTTCAATGCCAAGAGAGAATAACACATTTCCACCCAACTCTCGTAGCTTTGTAAATTCCACACGTTCTCAGGAATCAAAAACAGAGTGAAAAACAGAGAGATCACAACGACATGCAAACGCTCGATTCAGATTATACAAATTAAACCCAGAACAAAGAGACAATGATGAAGAGAAAAACTTGTGCACAAAAAAATAACAATCGGAAAACAAGCAATGCATACCTCGCGTTTCCAATCGAGTGGAAACCATCCTGCTCCGATCGACCGCGAAGAAAACCAAATCAAAGGATGGAATGGAGCTCCAAGTCCAGCAAAAAAGCGAAATGCGAACAGCTAACGTAGCGAGGAAGGCGAGAAATTCAAGGATTGATCGCCATTTCTCTCGAGCTTGATCGGAGAAAATGTTAGTTATTTGAGAGAGAGAGATGGAAAAATTGGCGCCCTGCAAAATGGGAAAAAAGTTGAGCAGTATTGGGATTTAGTGCTATTTGTATGGATTTTTTTTTTTCAAAACTGATGTATATTGTATAGAAAATGGAAAGTATACTTTCTCTCGCTTTTTAGCCCATTTGGTAATATTTTTATTTTTTTTTCTAAAAATAGAATTACACGGTCGAATACAGAATAATAAAATAAAATTTTTTATTTATATTGGAATAAATTAGAAATGTTAACAAAAACAAAAAATGTAAAATAATTTTGCTTACGTGTTCTTTTTCAAAAAAAAAAATAAAAATTGAAAACTAAAAAAATAGTTTTCAAATTTTTGTTTTTGTTTTTAAAATTTTGCTTTAAAAAAACAAATATAATTTACAAAAACTACAAATGAAAGGGTTATACATATTATTAGGGAAATATTCCATTCAAACAGAAAGTTAGATTTTTTTGGAGTATCAACGGAAAATTCTAGTAATATTTCGATACTTTTTTTAATTAGCATTCTATTAAGCACAAAATTGAAAATTTATGAACTCGAAATTTAAAAATTCAAGGACTAAAATTTTAGTTTAACGTTTTATTATTATTATTATTTTAATGAAAACAACTTATCGAACCAAAACGACTTGATCGATCAATTTCATTGGTTTTTTTTTTCTTTTCTTTTTGGACTTGTAACATTATGTATTGATTCAGATTATGGAAGAATGCCTTAAGTTAATTGGACTTTACCAGTTAATTGAAATATTACTAATTGAACTTATAAAATGACTGAAAAATGCATCCTCATCGCAACATAGTTAGTGTTTCTTAATTGAGTAAAAACGAGACTTTCATAAGTTTAATAGATCTTTCTACTATACTAACTATTACGATCAACCTTAACCTTATGAATAGTAATAAGTGGTTTATCCACTTGAGCTGCTTATACACTATTTAAATAGAACTCTATTTTTCTAAGATGACGAGAATGACACAAATAATCAATGAAAATGGGAAGAGATGGAGGAAGAAAATTTGTAATAGAAAATGATAAAATTTAAACCAAACCAAAGAACAAATAATTTTTTTTTTAATGAAGATGTTATTTTAAATGGAATTTCATTGATATTTAAACTCCATAACGTTTTTATTTATTAAAAGATTCCATTAAATTTTTTTTTTACAAAAGATTATATTCAAATAAGAGGTGAGAATATGAATCTAGACACTAGTCAGTAGAGGCATCTTAACTGCATAGAAATATAATTACATTAAAATAGAATATGAATCTTAAATTCTTGTTAATAAATATAATTAAAGAAATATTATGATTTTATAAACTGTTGATTCAAAATATTATTTATCTAATAAACTCTTAAAAATAAGCGAAATTAATTTATATAATAAACATAATATCTACTTTAAATGGATTTAAAAATAATTACAATCTCTTTTTAAATTGTCCCTCCACATCGAAGTGAGCATAGCTAGCTCAGCAGTAATTGACATCTTTCTCCAACTTTGAGGTTGTGATTTCGAATCCCTACGTCCACGCACTAAAAAAAAATAAAAAAATTGTCCCTCCAAATT